TCGTTTTGAACTGCGTCCTCAAGTATCACCTTTCACTGCTAGCAGCAAGCGGAAAATCTTGATGCTCGCAGGAGACTGGCGACCAGGACATGTTCTGCGTGTGATTACAATGAGAACTGGCCACCTGCGACGGAACAATTGTCTGTGAGCTGACCCTCCACATTGTGAACTCGTCAGAGACACACCCAAAACTGTGCTTCTCTGGATGGCAGTTGTTCGCCATGGGACATTAGCCAGCTAGATCGATGGGATATGGGATAGAGGGAACGATCAGAGTTGACTTGCGAACGCTGCACAGACAGTAAATACTTAACCGTTTGAGAGCCGATTGGAAATTTCAAAATTCTGCATATTTTCAAATTGTTTGGGACGTAGCTTCAGTTCTACTCACTCAATCTTCACAATCTTGGGCTTCCTGGAAAGGTCTCCGCGAGAGGAAGAGACTGAGGTCACGCATGATGACCAGGACGAAAAACTATTAAACCAACAGGCTCGAACCAGCCACGTCGTGTGGCATGTGCAGTACATGATTGCGCATGCTTGATTATGACATGGGGCCGATCTATAAACACGACCGTGTAATCTTGTGACGAGGTGTCGATGCAGGCGAAAGGCGCAAAAAGCATGACATTATATACCGGTAAGATGTATTGCGGATCCACGTACAGGGTGTACATGTGTATGATGTGTTCCACGTACAGGGTGTACATGTGTATGATGTATTCCACGTACAGGGTGGTGGATCAAAGACTACCTTTCCGCCTCCGTGAGATTCCCCATGTTCAGACGTTAGGTGCAGCTTTAAAATGGTGCAGAAGGATAGATCGGATCCACCAACCAGCCAGAGGTCATAGGCCAACATGAAAAAAGAATTTGAGAAACACAAATGACCGCCACTATTCATTCACGTGGATACTGCATGTCAGGAGACATGGGCAGCAGCAGGTAAACACGCACCAACATTTAATATTATTTTTTATTATTCTATTCCAAGCAACACATGGCTGGGGTAGCCAATGACCACTTTGCGTGGCGATTGCAGGGTTTTTATTGCCAACCACGGCTAACAAGGAAAAGAGTAAGAAGTCAAAAAGAAAAGGAAAAGAAGAAAGAAGCAAATATGGACTAAAATTGTGTTCTACTGGTAAAGCAAGGCGTTCCTGAATGCTGTTAAAGTGGAAAGGCCTTTTGTCTCCTGGTGCTTCTTAAGCCAATGCAAATAGTCAATGAAACGGGGGGGGGGGTGTAGCAATGCAGAAGAGCGGGCTAGAGGAAGGGAGAGTTGGGTCCTAGTGGAGCTATCCCGTCGGACATGTACATTGTATTTTCTGATACTGCAGAACCAACAAGGCAGCCTATGCTAGTAGTTGGTGGATAGGCGGAGGGAATTTGATTGAGAAAGTCTATCCTAAAAAACGGGAGTTAATACGTAACGTTGTTCGCGTGGAGGTCGTGAAGCCTGCCTTTGTTCTCGAGTTGCATGCTTCCACTCAGGTCAGGTAGAGAATCCCGAATGTTCCCGTTCAGTTCCAACGCCTCAGTCAGATGCACGGAGATCCGCATCTCTCCTTGCACCGGTGTTCAAAACTCCCTATCAATGGACGGAGCAATACGCAATCACCTAGGTGGCTGTGGCGACCACAGATCGTGTTTCTTACCTATTACTGAAATTAATCCTTGCTGGGTTTTTTTCATCTAAATGTCCCGCTATTATCTGCAGAGGTGATTTCTTCCCTCGTCGATTTCTTTCCTGCTTTTATACCTCGATATTTAGGTACTTGTTTCCCTTCTTCCCATGCTTCATCTTCCACTCTCCTCTTCCCCACTGTCGTGAAATGCCTGGAAAAACACGACCGTACGCACCGCATGAAATCTAACTGCAATCGGTTAAAATAGCTATCATTTTATTTAATATGCACGAACACAGAAAACTAACA